TTTATTGTGAGTACTGTAAAAACCTTAGAAAACATGTTGGAATTCACTTTGTTGTATCAGATATCGATTTAAACAAAGAGTTGGGAAAGATATATGCGGAAAAAGATATTTATACATTCTATCAAGTGCTGTTTCATAGTTATCCAAAATTAATCTAAAATTGCCACAGTAAGTGGCCACCCACCTGGCAACCTTAATTAACTTTACCACTAACTCAATTTTTCTAGGTAGAGTTTCTCTTAATTGTTTCTCGATTGACCAAATATAGGCTACTATGTTTTTTATATCAAATATTTGTAGACATACTTTTTGTCATAGCTTCCTACAATATTTTAACGAGTAAATTTAACATTTACTTTTCATTCTTTTAAAAAAGCTTATTATTTTAGAGTTAAACATAATTTACCAATTATAGACCGGCCGCTTAGAAAGCGACCTCCTCCAGCATTGGTTTAGCATTAGCGCGCAGGTCGTTTTCTAAGCGGCCAAACTATAATATATTCATACTTTGGGGATAGCTCTAAAAATGCAAAAATGAATTAATAAAGCTCTTTCCATTTCTTTAACGAGAATGATGAACTAAGAGAGAGAGATTTTCCAGAATATTCCATTCTGCGAAAACTTGTTACTCTAAGGGAGTATTAACCCTAGGGTTGTTTTATATTAAATCTCGGTAAATTACGTTTAGCTTGCGGAGTAGGAAAATTACTTTGTTCTAATATTACAATGGGTACTTAAATTTGAAATCATTAAACGAGTAGTTCTCCCAGTGTGATATTAATTATAATTTTCAATGGTGATTTTTTTGTGCAGTTAAAATGCAAATGTGAAGAATACATGGTGAATTGAAATTAAAAAGAAATAATATAAAAAGACGTTCTCCCTAGTTTGAGATGTTACCAAAGTGAAAATTCTTGTTTACACTTTTTTTGTTAGTAAAAACAAAACTTAGGATTAGGTTATCCACCAAATGTGCATTTGCCAATTCCCCTTCCTTCATCTTTTTATTTATACTTATACTTGAATTTCCTATCTAAAAAAATATCTTTCCAGTAGGCAGAAAGTAATCCCAAGGAAAAAGGTGTTTAAATGCTTGGAAAATTGCCGGCATGAGAAGGAAATATTGAGAAGGAAAAACTACAACTCTGAATTTCAGTAAGAAAAAAGACATAGGTAGTCCCTCAATTAGGGGATGTAACAATAGAAAACCTTACAAAATTTCTCGGTGTTATCCTTGATAACAAACTAACATGGAAAGAGCACATCAACCACCTAAGCAAAAAAAATCAGTGCCGGAATATATGTCGTCAGAAGAATAAACTACATAGGCCTATCTGTGGCCAAAACAGCTTACTTTGCACTGGTAGAGTCACATATTAGACATGGCTTGACAGTGTGGGGAGGAACTTCAACAAAAAATATGAATTGAATCCTTGTTCTTCAGAAGAAAGCCATAAGAGCCCTCGCCAACCTTGTCCCACCACAGACTTGCAGACTAGCATTCGCAAACCTAGGAATCCTCACAGTGGTGTCTCTCTACATACTTGAAACCATAAAGTATGTGGATGAAATAAACCCCCCAAGAAACCAAGACCTGCACCACTATAACACCCGTCATGGCTCCAAATTTGCCCAACCAGTTCACCGAACAACTCTTTGGGAAAAAAAACCTTCCTACACCGGCTGCAAACTGAGGAACCATCTACCTGACTACCTGAGAGACCTGACTGGCAACAAGCTACACCAGGAGTTGAAGAAGTGGCTAATCGCAAGATCCTTCTACACAATAAAGGAATTTTATGAAAATTATGGAAATTAACACATACAATTCACTATTGTATTGACACTATTGTAATTCTTAACGAATGAACAATAAAGAATATTAGTATTGTATTGTATTGTATTGTGTAATGTAAAAGATTTTTTTTTTAAGTAGGAAATCTATATACTTATTTAATACGCAAGCAGATTTTTTGTGACAATTACTCCTCCGAAACTACTGAACCGATTGACATGTTTTTGGTGTCATTGGAAAGAGCGTAACTTGAAGTTGTGCAGGAAACTTTTTTATAGGGAAATAATTAGAGATTAAGGTCCTGGGGCCCTTTAAAGTTTCGCATTTCTCCATAAGATTAACATGGGAAACAAACAATGTTATGAAACTCCAGCTGTTGTCATAAATGCTGTTCTGCTTTTTAATTTGATTTGTTTACAAGGAGAATTGTTTCTTAGTGCCATGTGTCAATAAGTTATACTTTTGCATATATTTTAAATTATATACACTGTATAAAATGATGGTACTGTATTACATTAAGAGATATTCATTTAAATAATCAATAAGTACGACTGAGCCTTTGCCTATATGTTTCCTGGTAAGTATAGTATCTTAAAGAAAAACCAAATTATTATTTTCTGCATTCTCACCCCGTAGCGAAGCACGGGCAGAGCAACTAGTAATACTTTAAATATCTAACATAGTGTTTTACGACAACTTGGTCCTGAGTGAGGAAAGTAATGTGAAATAAATGATCTGTAATGCACTTGGATGATTTAGAAAAGCCCATTTTGAATTTATACCTAAATATGAAAGATTCTTGTTAACAAAATTGATTTATTTGTTTCAGAAGAAATTCTGTTCTGTAAAGTAAACAGAAATCACATTTAAACGACATTATGCTCTGTTGGAAAAACATGTGACATAAATATTATTTCGAACTTCTCATTGCTTATGGGTTTACTCTATTTTTATTTTAGTTTGTACCCTACAACCATACAGCTACCCAGACAATCGTCTGTTTACATAGAAAGTTTTGATCTTATTTATCACTTTAAAAATTGTTTACCTATATCCTCTCAGTTTATTACCTTGAATTTGTTCATGTTTGTATCACATAACTATTTTGTATGTTTATATGCAAAGCATATAATTAATATAACTATCAAGCAACAAATGAAAACATACTGTAATTTATACAAAACAATTTACAAAACTAAAATGATATCCGTCTTTGTTCTTAATACGCAAAACAAAATAGAGGTTACAAAATGCCTACACAGTTTACAAAGTATTTAAAAAAACATGGCTTCCAAAGTTTGAAATTACCATCAAGTTTTAGTTGCTAAGATAAACATAATAGTGGCCGTCTTAAGTTTCAAGTACTCTCATAGCTCAGTATTGATGGCTTTATCATCATAAAGGAGTTCTGTTACAGAGTCTCTTCAGCTTTATTGTGCTTAAAACTCTTAAATAGATTCTGCGACAGATTAAAAATATTTTTAAAATATAAAACTTTGTTTAACACAGTTTTTCATAACTAACGTTCTACTAAGCTGTAAACTCTTTGATAAACTCATTTATCTCCAATGGGTGTCAAATTAAATTGTTTACATTCAAATTAACCAATTTAAAGTGTTTTTTGTCTGTATTACCCAAATGTTTATTCGTCTTTTGACTTACCATCAGTTGTTTTGAGTATGGCTATTTTTTTTTAAATCTTCTTTACATTAACAATTCAAATTGTTGCATTATCATAACACTATAGGTGTACTATAGGTGTTAGCTACGCGTCTTACTTTAGATAAAGAAAAAAATATTATTTTAAAATGTTTAAATGCCCTTTTGTTATAGGTACTTCAACGAAGTATTTTACTTGACATAAAATTACTTTTGTTGGAACTAAATTGTGTTACTACTAATTAAAAAAATTACTTATTTGGATAAGTTTTTAATGTAAACTGTTGGGAAAAATTACCTAGGGTTTCAACTATTCCTAAGCTATTTAAAAAGGTGGACCTTTGGAGCTTTTCTTTCCAAATGTATTCTTTATTCAATCTATAATCACTCCCAAGGGTTCAGAGTTTGGATGTTTTGTGAAGGGAAGATGCAGCTCTGAATATTCAGTAACAAAGACATGAGAACTCTTGTCCAGAGCACCTCACTTGACGCTGCTTACACAAACTAAAATGGCTGACAGAATCTTACCTACCCTCCCCTCCAGTGGAACACTTTGTGAAACAAGCTGAAGACATGAGAGACTATTTCAACTAAATTGTATGTAGAACGGGAGCCATTTATGCAACAATAGCCTACCATAAAAAAATAGTGTATTCCCTATTTGGTAAAATTGCTAAAAGAGACCAGAGTTTTCTTTCTATTATTAAAAATAAAAATATCAACCAAATTCTTAAAAATTTATCACAGAATGAATTTACTTACTCAGGATTGCTATAGACCTTTTTCTGATTCTATATTGACCTATTGATCTGTCCCCGGATTTTAAAAGGTTGAAGGAGAGACTATTGATGAGTAAAAAAAGAAGAAAAAAAAGAAAAAAGTCACTATGTTTACAATTTTATAAAATCATTAATTTTAGTCTACCACACATTTGATTCATAAAAAAATAGGGAACTTAAGGAATTTGAAAGTTCAATTTACTTTTCATAACCAATTACGGGGGTTAGTGTTACAGTTTTCTACAATTATTATTAAAAACAATCTTCGCTTGAGTAAAACCATGTAAAATTCATATTTAAATAGTAATTTAGAAGAATATTATGTCAAGGACTCTTCATTCAAAATTAACAAACAGATTTAAAATCTTTCACAATTATTTGAAAATATAAAGAATAACATTAACAAAGAACTATTTGCTAATCATATCAAAATTGTTGCAATGTATAATGGATAAGGACCAGAACCAATTTCAAAAGAAGTGTGAAATAAAACCATCTAACGAAATTAAACACTGTAATGAGCTCTAAGAAGTCTTCCTTGTCAAAAATAAATAGATAATTTACAAGAAGGTTAAATCCTCATAAGTCTAGGCTCTATTAAATTTCTGTGCTTTGAACACACCCTGCAATAACAATTCAAATTTTACTGCCATTCACACTTTTTGTAATAATTATTCAGTCGCTTCCAACTAAATCCCAAACCTATTTTAAAATGGTGTTACTGTGAAGCCTTTGTACAGGGAGGTTATTTTAGAACAACAAATAAGTTAGTTTTCTAAACATATATTTTTTACAAAATAAACATTTTAATTAACATTGGTATCGTATAAATAATTAAATTACTTACAGGCAGTTTACACTATCAGTCAGTTCTGCATTATAATGTTTTGTAAAGATTTGTTTAGTCTAATAACAATAAACTTAAAATCTAAGCGGTGTCTTAACTTTTAGGAAACACTATTTTGTACACATCCATGTAATTACTGACAAAATGCACTTCTAGACCATCTGTGATATATTTGGGTAAGTCGTTAAAATCTTTCTTGTTTTCCTCTGGAAGAATTATGCAAGATACACCAACTCGCTTTGCCTGCAACCGAATACAGTATTTTATTTTACCGAAAAAAAAAAAAATGCTAAAAATAGGTTTGCTGCTACAGGGAAGGCGTTTTTACAAAATATTGATAGCTTTAATATGAACTAAACAAATTTGCTAAAATTAAATCAAACTATTTCCATAAACAAGCAAACTACAACAATTTATTTATCCTCCAAACCTACAGTTGTTTTTTTTTTTATCATCTCCGTAGTTGTTAGACATACAATGCTTCTGTATAAAAATTATTTGTTTTTTTAAGCTCTTCAAAATGGTTCAGGAAGAAATCGGAGTTTTCAATTAAGTTAATGTTTTTTAAGGGTCAAAAATGGGAAAAAGCAGTTTTTACCCCATAAAACCCTCTTCCCACACCACATGCTAGAGCTAGATCACACGCACACACACATTTATATGATTGATTATATAATATCTATGAATGGATGATCATTATAAGTGGTATTCAGTTCAGAAAAATAGGCCCTGTCTTGTTTTATTTATGCCCTACTGAACACAGAAAATAAATGTTACTTCCCTTCCTGATACAAAATCAATCACAGGTGTATGATACAAAGTTTACATAATGCAGCCATATTCTACAAAAAAATGTAATTAAGAATGAAGTGTTGTCACTTACCGCGATGGTTTTCTCCTTGATGCCACCCACAGGCAAGACAATGCCTCTGAGAGATATCTCTCCAGTCATGGCCACGTTCTGACGTATCGGCTTGTCTAGAGCCAGTGACAACAGAGCTGTCACGAGAGTGACACCAGCGCTGGGGCCGTCCTTGGGTGTGGCACCCTGCGACACAACAAACCCTGTCAGTGAAACTTTTTCTAAGTAAAGATTTTGGAGAAGGAATTTAACTTTGGTTAAAAGACTAAAAATATTGGCAATGTCTATTTCATGGCAATTTAACAACTCAGTGGCCTTGCTGTGACAATAGATAGGCCACCGTTTAAATAGTTCTAAAATGTTGACATACATAAGACCTCCCTGTGGACTAATCGATTACTGTGATACGTTATTTCTATGTTGTATGACTAAACGTAAATAAATAAGGTAAATCAATACAACTCTTATTTTTCTCCCTTGACCAAACTCTGAAGATAGGGCATCTGATAGGGGAGAACTTTGGCCACTCGCCATTGATTGCAATTTCTTATTGTTTAGGCAAATGTGATGAAGCCTTGTATGAATTAAAATATGTTATTATGCCTAATCAGGGTTGGTACTGATTTTGGAAAATGAAATTCCCTGACTTTTCCAGGTTTTCCAGACTGATATTATACTTTTTCCAGGCATACCGTAAGACGATATTGAATTGTCAGAATTAAGAATTATTAGAAAAAATGTAGGCCTAAATAGTTTACTCATAAAACCAATAAGAAAAGAATTAAACATCTGGAATCTGGAAAAGTAAGAGTACCAACTAACTTAACCTCACACTTTATGTTCTACTTGGCCTTGACTTGACACTGGCAGATAGACCATACGGTGCTTCTGATACTGATATATATCAATATTTTGCTTGCGATATCATCGATTTATATAGGAAGAAACATGTGATATTGGAAAAATAACTACCATGTACAGGAGACAAAAAGTAGTACCAAACTAAACCATTAAACGTTTCGGTACTTTCCTGTTATCTGGTACCTGCGAAAAAATTCTTTCCTGTTATCTGGTACCTGCGTTTATTAATCAAACAAAAACAACAAACAATGATTACATCTGAGTTTCGGGTGGCCAGAAGTAACGAATTACTTCTAACAGTGCTTCGAAAACATCGCAATACCAGACCATCTTGCGCCACATAAACTCTGCCAAATAAGACTCTAAATGATGACGTGCAGTGCCTCGGTGCTTCTTGTTGCGCCACTTCGCTGACCCCCACATGCGTTCGACGGTCTGAGTATGTGCTCCGGACTCTGGATCGACGAAGTTGTACTTTGGTTAGGTTAGGTTAGGTTAGTTTATCAATAACATGAGTATTGTAAGTAAACGAACCTAACCTAACCTAACCTAACCAAACCTAACCTAAACGTTAGTATGTGCTCCGGACTCTGGATCGACTAAGTTGTACTTGTGGTTAAAGAATTTTTTCGCAGGTACCAGACAACAGGAAAGTACCCAGGTTTCAACTAACAGGATAAATATTTTTATAAACTCCTACAAGTGCAGTTTTTTTTTAGTTTATTAAAGGTTGAATCAGTATTGGTATAAATTCAATGAGGAATTGTATTCAGTATCGTATTGAAATTGAAACGATGAATGTAGGCCTATCCTTCCGCGCATCGCGGTACTAGCAGTGTTTCCATACGTGGGTTATTATCCCGAAAACAGGATATTTAGAGCATGAGCGGGATTTGAAGGGGATGTGGGATAAAACAGGAGCTTTGGCTATGACGTCAGTTTTTATTTACTATGCTTTATTTTAGTGAAAAACTAACCCCTATCAAAAAAATTACCTTAACAAAATATAATAGCAATTTTAAAACAACTATTTAAACACGATATGTCCAATTTAACACTCAGAATTTAACATCAAAAAACTTAAGGGATTAAACGGGATTTCTTAACCCAGTGACCGGGATTATATTCTTTTGGTCGTGTAGAAACACAGGGAGCTCGGTGCGTTCAATTAAAGCCAGTAATCAGAGGGTGATGATAGAATGTCTGTCGATGTTCAATGTTTTTTATATCGATGGTAGGTTCCCGATGTTTTTGTTACATCAATGTTTTCGTCAAACTTCGATGTTTTTGACCAAGTATTGAGACATGGATGCAAAATGTAGCATATCTGTAAAAAATGTAGTGTTTCAAGAGAAATTCCAGATTTTTTCCAAAATTCCCTGACTTTTCCCTGACTTTTCCAGAACAACAAAATTCCCTGACTTTTCCAGGTTTTCCAGATTTTCCCTGACCGTACCAACCCTGCTAATTGTATTTTATCTAATATTTTGATGTATAAGAAATTTGATTATATTAAGATGATTATTTTGTAATTTATATGACGTGTCCTATTTCTGTGTAAAAAGATCAATGGAGTAAATTATTCTTATTCTTATAACAAACCCTTGTCTCCTTTGTAGATTTGCCAAAGGAGACACTTTCATCATTTTAATGATTTAACATATACAATGGGTTTTCTGTGGCCCAGTTTACGTTGGATCGAGACTCTACTGCATAATATTTATTTCTAAACGTCATTACGTCCAAACGTTCATTACATTGCAATTGTAAATAATTTTCAAACATTAAGAATTCTTGATCTCCCAGTTGTAGCAACTGTTTTTGATAACGTAGGCTGTGTGGAGAGTGGAGGTTACCTCAGGCACGTGTATGTGGATGTGATTGCTGGTGAGGAACGTGTTGTCAGGCTGCAGCTCCCTCAGTGTGTTGCGGGCCACAGTCAGCGCTATGCGACAACTCTCCTTCATCACATCCCCCAGGTGTCCGGTCAGTTCTACAGACCCACCAGGAGCTGAAGACTTGCTCTCCGTGTCCACCTGTTGGCGAAGAGCTGTTTCGATAAACAGAGTGGAACCCCCTGAAACAAAAAACCACCATCAGAATAGACAACAATTTGTTTTAAAAAATTTGCACTTTTTACATTTTTTCCTACTTTAAATAAGTAAATAAGTAAAATAACTTCTTATAGAATAAAAAATAATTTTGACAAAAAATGGTACATGTGAGACTGATACCGACTTGAACCCCTACCGGCAACGGCAAATCAGGCCAGGATCCTCATCTGACGACTTCATGGGCTAGGTGTTCTGGGCCCTCATGAATCAAAGATATTACTTAGAAAATGTAGAGGTTGTACAGCCATCCATTCTCTCGTTTTGTAAAGAAGCACTAGACGACATCCCTATTTGTCCAAGAATATCTAGAAAATTTTCAAATATATGCCTAACCTGTCTTTACTTATCCCTCAAAAAGTCTGAAAACCACAATTTTTTTTACCATTGCAGATTACAAACAAAGCTTTGCACATAACTAGCATACATAAAAATCCAATTTATTATGCAGATATAATTTTTGTATCATACTGAGAACGGTCCTCAAGGAGTCAGATGGAAGTCATTTAAATGAGACTCAAATAGTACATTAAATCAAAAGACTCTTTTAAGAGAACACAGTACCACAACCTGACCTCAATAGGTTCCTCCTAGCCAAAACAGCAATGGTACGAACTTTAACTTGTTGAATAAAGCAAAGCTGCTATTTCTCTATTCAGGCAACTGAGTTTCAAGTTATTAGTACTCACATGTAATCCTACCAGTTATAAGATGCTTACTATATGCTCAAACCTACTTTTACAAAATTGAACCTGAATAAAACTTTTTTGCAACTAGATAATTACAATAACTTTTAAAATTAAAGATTCCTCAAGCTGAAGGGTAAAACTGTTTTTGTTGTGTGCAGCTTCAATACTTGGTTCTAGATAGAAAATTTCAACATATAACGCAGCACTTACCCATCGCAGTCCATGCCAGTCCCATGACTACTCCCGGAGGTGTCACTTCGTACATCCGATCGTGTGTAAATACAGGTTTGCCAACAAACTCCTGCAGATTGTCTGCAGTCACCTCCACGCTGTCCGATTCCTTCTTCACAACTTTGAACGCAACTTTCCGCACCACCTGTACACAGTTCACTGTTTGTTGTATAAATTTTGAGCCAAGTCAATTTTTTTTATATTAATCTCATATTTTGGAATTTTTTTAATTTTCCTCTACGCCAATATTATGAAAATAGATAATTTTTTGCTATTTTACTTATTATTTTCTTCTCTGCTGCTTGAATTAAAGGTGGCTACATTCCTATATCAAGTTTTGCAATCTATTTGATATCTACTTTCTAAATATCTGACTAGAAAATCCAGAAAATAATATATCAAATTTGGGTTTGCAATATTGAATTTTACCAGTTTAACCTTTTTTACATATGTAACTATTTTACCTTCTCAATGTGCTTCTGTAGATTTCTCACTCCACTCTCTCTGCAGTATGACTTAATTAATTTGCCGAGGGAGTCATCTTTGATCGTTATCTGGAAAAGATCAAGTTTTATAAATACCAACTTCTTCTGTGTATATTATGTAGCAGCATTTTTACCATGCAACCTTGTTACTTTGCATGACAGCCATTTTGATTACAAATCGATGAAAAATTAATAATTCAATTGCATACATCAAAATTGTACCCACCTAGTATTAAATCTTTAGCTTTTTTCTATAAAACGTGAGATAACAAGCTACTGTAGTAGCTAGGCATTAGGAGACTTTACAGCACTAGTGGGATAGTGGTGTTGTAAGGTGTTAAGCCTGTCATCCGGGATATGATTGATTAAGTAGTTCATGGCCTGGAGGAGATTGCTCTCACTTCTGTCAATTCCTGATTGGCCACTGGTACTTCAGAAAACACTTTTCCCGGACAAAGAAGGTAGGGACAAAGAAGAAGGGATCACCAAGAAAGAACAGTATGATGTTTATAACACCTTCTCTGAGGAAAATCTTTAGCTCTCCTGTTTAGTGGTTTAGTGGTAGGCTACCAGTCACAGCTTATACAGTTGCGAAAATTACGCTCCAAGGCAAGGATGAGAGGTCAGCAGTCGTCTAGTGCTTCTTTACAAAACGAGAGAATGGATGGCTGTACAACCTCTACATTTTCTAAGTAATATCTTTGATTCATGAGGGCCCAGAACACCTAGCCCATGAAGTCGTCAGATGAGGATCCTGGCCTGATTTGCCGTTCCCGGTAGGGGTTCAAGTCGGTATCAGTCTCACATTATTCCTATCTGAATGTGTGCATAGTTCATTTCTGTGATTAACTACAGCAAATAGCCACGAATACAACTGTAGTCTAAGCATGAGATATAATGACCAACCTGTTCAACCTGTAGGCCTGAGTCCCGCATGGCCTGTGGAATGAGGTACTGCTTGGCTATAGCCATCTTTTCCTCGGCCACGTAGCCAGACACATCAATCATCTCCATCCTGTCCCTCAGTGGCTCTGGGATTGTATCTATGACGTTGGCTGTGCAGATAAACAATACCTACAACACATTAAACAAAAGGTGAGGTTGGTAAAAATATCTGTGAATGATTCAATTATCGGTACTTTTGTACTATGATAACGAGTATTTCAAACCATGCATGAAAACTACTTGAACATAAACTCATTAACTGTAAAATTAACTCCTATCAGCCCTGATCTGCTCTCTGAATTGACTATAGTTTTTCTTGCCTCTTTGGTGTATGTTATCCTTAATACTAAAACACCTATCTGATCAGACTCTTAAGGTATCAGCAGGGCCTTCATACAAGTCCTGGAACAAAGGTTGTTAATAGAAGGGCAAGGTTGAGTACTTAACGAGTTTTAAGTTTCCCAGGAGTGTGACAGGCAGTTTAATTTACACTTTCAACCCTCACCGCTTCAATCCAAAATGTACAAATAATTACAAGTGGCAGTAGTATCAATTGAGCTTAAACTAAGTTCTAATACTCCCGCCTGGCATCTAGAATCTACAATACAGCTTGTTGTTCACCTTAGACAGGTCTACTGGAACATCGAGGTAGTGGTCGAGGAAGTTAGCGTTCTGCTCAGGGTCCAACATCTCCAACAAGGCAGACGACGGATCCCCTTGGTAACCCCTACAAAAACAATGGGAATGGAAAAATTAACTGTGAACAATATCTCAAATAAGCTTACCTATATTTTTATTATTTTTAAATATAGAGGTTGGCAGTCCTATTAACATTGCATTTGCCTTTACATATCGGTCTCAAGCCTGATTGAGGAACATATCCAAAATAACAAGGGATGAATCGAATCACTACAGTAAAACACATCACTACTTCTAAATATCTACTTTACTTTAAATATTTACTTTACTTTTAATTAATTTAGTGAATTGAACTAATAAATTTAGTGGCAGGCACCAGGATGCAAACCCACGACATCCCTGCCATGGAATCATAGTCAGTCACGCTACCAACTATTAATTTTGACCTATCATAACACAACATTTTGGTATTGGCAAAACAATAAAATACAGGTAGGTTATGTGTTCTTGTTAAAATACTTTTCTAAATGTAACATTGGTTCCACTGTTTCAACTAATTTTGTCCGTGTACTGTTTCATTTAGTAAAAGTTCCTAAAGGAGGAATGTCGGTATTTGATAATATGGTAATACAGACATATTATAATGTTACACAATACTGGTCTTTTTTAAGAAGTTAAGTGAAAATAAGATAGGAAGGTCAGTGACAGACATAGTAAAGATAATAGAATGTCTTTTAACACTCAACTATAGCCATGTGCTGTGGACTGTCTCTGTATGCTTAAAAATCATTTTTTAAATTAACAGTAGATCAGATTTTTTAAATAAAACTAATACCTTCCAATCTTGTCCACCTCATCAATGAGAACAAGAGGATTTTCCGTCTTTGTCTTCTTGAGACACTGTATCAGTTTTCCCGGCATGGCGCCTACGTATGTTCTGCGATGTCCCTTGATCTCAGCCACATCTGTCATGCCTCCTACGCTGAATCTGAAATACTGACAACCATCCAATCAAGATAAGGCAGTTCAGTTATTAAAAGATGTGTTCAAGTGTAACCAGTGAGCAGGCGCTAGCAAGTGTGAACAGGGTTTAGTAAAAGTATACGTTTCAAAAGTATTCATATACAATGCTCATTACTACATGAATGATAGGTTTCTATTGTAAAAATTGGAAAGAGACGAAATCAAATTCACTGAGATGGCACTTAATATTTTTTATTATTGTTATTGTTTTTTTCTTGTCTTTAGGCATCCAGACAATGCATGGTGTGATATTTTACTGTTAGACTAATGAATCGGAGTAAGGAATGCATACCAAACGGTTTCATAATCATTTAGGTTTGACACGTGTTTTCAAAATGAAAATGTACACTTGTAAGAACTTTGTATTAACAGTTTGTTCTTGGAAAGTGTAATTACAGGGAAACTGGTGTGAATTTTCACACATAGGTCCAACTTTCTAAAATTATTTGATGTGGAAAATTATCTGACCACAACAATAAATTAGCTGGTACATCTCATCTCCACATACCTTACGATTCAAGGCTTTGGCGATTGACTTGGCAATACTTGTTTTCCCCACTCCCGGAGGCCCATAGAAGCACAGGATCTTTCCTTGGGTTGAACCCTTCAGCTGACTGACAGCGATGAACTCTGAAAAATCATTACATTAACAGTTCACTAGCTTCAACTTAAGTAGACAAATGTCATCACCAAGGACAATGCAAGCTGTAATTTACTGATGAAGAGATCCTACCTCTGATATCCATGACACAACGGCAATAGTAAAACAAAGTACAACATAGACAAACATGATACTAATACAACATCAAATCTAGAAACATTTACAATATCAACCAACACAGACCAAAGAAAAATAACAAGCAAAACACCAACATACATCGATCTAAATTTCTTTAGGCCTTCTTCTTCTGAATTACTTGAAGCCCATATATTAAAATAAAAAATCCATAAACTCCCTAAAAATGTACCTACTAAGTAACCATACTATAATCTGAATGAATTCTACCACAAAAAACCATCGCTTTGCGGATCAATAAAAAACATTCATATTCAAACACAAACATGAACACATCCTCAAACAAGTTGAGAATTGTCTGATATCTTCAAAAAAATTGAAAAGAGTGATTGTGAAAGCTGTAAGATGTAAGTGGTTTGGTATTGAAGTTTATCTTGCTTACTAAATCATTTCAATATCCACCCACCCAGTATTCTCTTCTTGACGTCCTCCATGCCATAATGGTCCTCGTCTAGGGTAGTCGCAGCCTGGGTTAGGTCCAAGTTCTCCTCACTCATGATGCCCCATGGCAGCGAGGTCAACCAGTCCAAGTAGTTGCGAGTCACGCTATATAAAACATTATGACTGTTAGTGTTACAAATACTAGTGGTCTATGACCAAACTTCCACCTCAAACTATTTATGCAAGCTAACCCAGCAATATTGGCTGGAAGCTTTATCTGACATGGCATGTATACTGGGAGCAGAATGAAATGAAATGAAATGAAATGAAATGAAATGTTTATTCGTCACATAAGTTTACAAGATTGTGATTTTCACATATAAACATATGACATGTCAATACCACTTTACTATCTAATAATACCTTATGCTAAATTCTTTGTTTTTATCAATCCATAAAACCTAAAGCTAAGTTTTTATAAAATCATCTAGGGAATAAGGACACAAGAGAATGAGATAAGATTTTAGTTTTCTTTTAAAGGATGACATATTTTCTTCAGTTTTAATTTGATCTGGGAGGTTATTGTAAATTTTCCTACCCATGTACCATGGCGATCCTTCATACAGAGCTGTTCTATGCACAGGATATTGAAGATCATTCCTGTGTCGGGTGTTATATTGATGAGTGTAATTTTTCAACATAAATTCCTTATAATTTCTTTTTACAAAGATGCACAGTTGAAAAATATAAACTGCATAAATCGTCAAGAGTTTCATCTGAATAAAAAGGGGGCGGCAAGAGGAACGTGGTCTGGTATCAGCTAAAATTCTAACGGCAATTTTTTGTAAGATAAAAATATTCTTGGTAATGGGGGAGCTGCCCCATGAGATAATACCATAGGAAGACCTAGACATAAAATAAGAATGATACACAGCAAGAGCTGCATGCAAACCCGAAGACTTATAAACCACCCTTAGACCAAACAGTGCTTTTGCTAGAGACAAGCTAATTTGTATTTGATGATCAGACCATTTTAGATTTTCATTTATGTTAACACCCAGGAATTTAGTATTTGCAGAAGATTTTATGGAATCACCTGATTTTAGTTTGATTGTTATCTCACCTGCCTTCAGTTGTGGATTATGGAAATGAAGAAGATGAGTTTTGGAACAGTTTAGATGTAGTCCGTTTTGTGCAAACCAAGTTATCATGGAATCTAAATCTCGGGATGCAATGTTAGTTGCAGAAAAAATAGAAGGTGCTCTTACTAGCATTGTTGTGTCATCAGCGAATTGAATAATTTTGGAAGAAATTGAAAAAGACAAGTCATTGATGTAGAGGATGAACAGAAGAGGCCCCAATTTAGATCCCTGCGGAACACCATGGGTTACTGAGCTCCATTCAGAAAAATGTTTGACACCGGATTTATCTTTGATGACAACCTGCTGATATCTGTTAGTGATGTAACTAGAAAACCATGAAAAAGATGATCCAGATATCCCATACAATCTCAATTTCTCTAAGAGAATGTCATGCCTGACACAATCAAAGGCCTTAGACAAATCACAGAAAACACCAAAGGTTCTCTGTGATCCGTCCAAGGCCCCCACTGCCTCAGAAACTAGATCGACTATTGCATCAGACGTGCTTCTCTCCCTCCGAAAACCAAATTGATTCTTGTTCAATAAATTGTTTGATTCAAGAAATGGAACAATTTGTGAGAGAACAACCTCTTCAAATATTTTTGAAAACACAGGTAAGAGAGCCACTGGTCGGTAGTTTGAAATTTCTTCCGAGTCCCCCTTTTTAAATATAGGTATAATTTGAGCATACTTCAATTTGTCGGGGAAGACTCCTGTCAGCAGTGAAATGTTGATAGAATGAGTGAGTGGTTTTATAATTGAAGAAGCCAATTATTTTATTACATTTGTAGGAATTTCATCCCAGCCAGTTGAACTTTTATTCTTTAATCGATTGATGCAGGAGATAACATCGGATTCAGAGACAATCTTAAATTCAAATACATGTGGGACATTTAGAGTTGCCATTTTTGCTTTGGCTATTGAATCTGCCACCGAAACCTGGGACTGAAACTTATTTGCTACACCAATGAAGTGATGATTCATGCAATCAGCTACTTTTATAGGATCGTCAATAACCTCCCCATTAATTTTGATTCCTAGACAAGGTTCTGTTTTACAATTTGTACCGATTTCTCTCTTTACAATGCTCCATGTTGTTTTACCTACATTATCACTATTCTCTAACAAATTTAAGTTGTACCTCATTTTGGCTGCCCAAATTACTTTCTTAAAAACCTTCTTGTAATTTTTAAAGTATTCTAAGAAAACAGGATTTGTATTATTTCTAGAAATTTTATAAAGCTCCCATTTTCTTTTACTGGATATTCTAATACCTTTTGTTACCCATTGATTATTTCTCCCATTTGTTGACAGAGATTTCTGTTTAATTGGGCAATTATTCAAAAAAGAATCATAGAATATTCCAAAGAAATTATTGAAACTACCATTAGAACTAAGGTGCAAAAGACTAGTGAAAAAGCAGACTAGTGAAAAAGGCTGCAAAACATTGTAGATCAGCAAGAGAGGCCCATCTTGGCTCTAGTCCCTGCTTCTCCCAGATTGAAGTGAAACTCAAGGATGTCTCCATATCCAAGACTCCATTCTATCAAGATCCCGAAGAAAAAAAACCAAGACAGCAAATCTTCACCTCAATAAATAGTAAATACTCTTCCCTCAACTAATTTACTTGAAAGAATGTTGAAAATCGTGAATAATCGTAAACTAAAGAACTTCAATCCAGTATGAATCTTGATTAATGATTTTCCCACGAACAATTTTTTCGGGTAGACAAGAAAGAAGGATTTAGTAAAAAAATATTATCGCCTATTTATCATCATTTTGGTGTCACAACATGTAAACTAAGTTTTATTTTCAACTCACTTGAACTCAGATGAATGGCTCTCCAGCATACTCAACTTGAGTAGCTCCTCTTCTAAAACCTCCATAACAGCTGTTGGAACTTTCATTTCCTATAAAACATACTTTACATTATTTCCCCAGGAACATAGAAGGACATTTCTACATAATATAGAGTAAAACTATAACTCGACGAAGATACATAGAAGTAGAAACACATAAATCCTCTCCATAAGGCATACAACTTTTCACTGTTATTTCTCTCATAAAAAAACTTGTACTTATTTTAAAGTTTTTGATTTTTATTGAAAGCTTTTTTTAGCTGCCACCTTGATCATAAATTGTCTTGTCACATAAAAAGTACTTTGTTCCCTCCCAAAATGTTCACTAAAAACATTCCTTTCACATTTTATCTCCCAAGAAATCCCATTAAAAAACTTGTAAATATACATTAAATACTTGATCTATAATTCACAAGTGTGTACCTTGATTCTCTCCCTGAACTTGTCTCCGATGGCGTCTTTGTCGTCCTTCTCCATGCCCAGCTCCTTCTTGATGACCTTGAGTTGTTCCTGCAGGATGTACTTGCGATGTTGCTGTTTCACCTTCTCCTCCACCTCTCGGCCGATCTTCTGTTGCAGCTTACTCAATTCGTACTCCTTCTTGAGTAGCGACAGGGACAGCATCAGTCGCTTTGGTATCTAGATCACAAACACTGTGATAAGAAATGTGTTTATACTTATTCCCCCTGCCTTAAAATGTCAACTTTTACAAAATCTTAAGTCTTACGAAATCTAAATCGACGTTTATATGGTTAAAATAAAATCATGGCTTCAAAGACTGTTCCCTTAATAGAATACATTTCTGATACAGCTGAACATTTTATTTACTCAAACTCGTTACTGTCCATCAGAAGGCCTAGCTCAGTTTTACTTTTGTTCTTAGGACTGTTTGGGCTGTACATAATCCTAGTTTCAAAAATCATAATTTTTTTATTTTATTACAAGGTTCCAGGTATTAAAAAAAGAGGGATTTGAGGAAGTCAAAGAGGAATAACGTACTGTATTATAGCAATCGAAAAAGTAACGGATAAAAACAACAAAATGTAAAGGTTTTAAAATTTGTATTAAGTATTTTAAAGTTGATTTTCAAAATTAGGCTACAAACTTTTTGAAATACTGAGTCATTACAAAGTTTTTGTAGGCTACAGTAGAACCCTTCTCGTTTACTCCGTCCCTTAGTTTTATTGAGCTCAAGCTTTCAATGTTTCTCAAGCAAATCTTAGGCGATTAATTTCCTGTTGCACGCCACAGGCTAATTTTAAGTTGCTAAATTTTCTATCTGTTTCAAGGGAAACAGAGCATCAAAACAGATACAAAACATAATATAACACATGACGTAACAAAGTAATTCTTATTGTGCAAATATTAAGTTCTATACTGAGCAGTTAATAATACTTATAACAGTTTGTTGAATATATCAGTACCGGTACTCTATGCAATAAACATTGTGTTTTCTTGACAATCCGATCTTTTTTGCTTCTGAACTTACTTTCTGTTTCCCAAGGTGGCATAATAGACTGGTTCTAATTTATTTTGACTATTTAGAGAAGAGAAATTCTAGGAATAACAGTTTTTACAATGTTGTTTCTTTGACTATAGATTGAACTAGACATCCCCATGTTAAAAAGTGTAGCCAGTTATAGAATAAAAATAAACTTAGTTCAAACGAGTGATAGACAGAGTGTGCTGGCAATGATGTGAATTACTGATTTCTATTTAACACACCAACTTATCAGCCAAACTGAACAACTTATTGTAAGCTATAGCATCTGTTACGTTTCATCATATATCATAGTATCAAATACTTTGACAACTCAGCTCACTTAGCGTGTGGCTCATTGAACTATGTTCTGTTTGAATAAAAGCTGGCAACAACTGTTTCATAAGGGAATGTCTACTTCAGTATTCTCACGTCCATCTCCTCCAGGACGGCCTGTAGTTCGCCAGGCTCTGCGCCGGTCAGCACTGCGCCGAGGTCCGACAGGTACACCGGGTTGTCTACCACTCGCTGTCCCTGGTGTAACATCTGCTGTAGAGACTCCCGGTACAGAGGGTTCAGCGAGATTATGTCTCTGATGGTCTTTATCACCTCTTGTGTCAGAGCCTGCACAAACAAACAGTAGCTGTCAATTTAACTCATTAATTTTTTGTTTGGAAATCAACAAAAAGTGCTGAATAAAAACAGTTACAAGAGCCAATAATGGGTTGACCGTAGCACGTTGCAGTCATAGCATACATTGGTTATTTTTTTCACATCATTGTTACTAGATGTTTCAAATTCACTAGTTTCTTAACAGCATTGGGCACATAATTTAAATTATACTATGACAAAATTTCGGGTGGAGGGACGAAATTGTATTTTAAAATCGGGGTTTAGTGAAATAATGTGTAGGTAATAGACGACAGAAATTAGTCACACCTTAAAATTTCAATGAGAGAATAGGAAAAGTCGGTCGGGGAAGGCGTTCGGTCGCTCGCGGTGGGCTGTAGAGTTTGACATGCAGCCCTGCCACACAAAGCGCTGACACTATAAGAAATATAGCATGCCGCTATGCGTCACACAGGTGTTATTATGTCACAGACCTTGTAAATTGGTAAGTGAGTATCCAAACCAATCAGCAGCCAAAAAACATACAACAGGTCCTGGATAAGAGTTAGGTAGGTACATCATAACTTTGACAATTGGTAAACTGAAAATATTATTAGCAATACATAAACTCACCTTAACTTCTTCAGTCTGTCTGAATTTGTCGTGCACAATATTCTCCACCTCTACCATCAAGACAGGGTTTACATCCGGGTCCGTCTCCTTCTTCTCTCCCTGAACTTCTGGTGGGATCTCCGGTTGCTCTGGAGCTGGAGGCTTCGGCTTTCGATTGCGAGCTTTTCTGCGACCCACCGCAGACTCTTCAACAGACACGTTTACGTCGGTTTGTAACATTGGAAACTTCAGGACCATCTCTACAAAACCAGAAAAGTAAAATCTGACATCATCCACTGTTGCTGATAATATTACGGTTCTATAAATACATTCTTTAGCATAAGGAACAACAGGAGTTGAGGATAGGAAAACTAGTTGACATTCTGTCTCCGGTGCCTTTCAAATACCCCCACCGCAGCAAACCTGCAGACTAAGAGAATTTTCATTTGCCAGATTGGATTTACACTGAAATATCTCCTTGAAAATATTAGACTACAATTTATTCCCTATTTAAATAGCATTGGTTTAACGAGTACTTAGGTGTGCTGCAACAGGGAGGGTTAGAAAGTGTGCTTTTTTTGTTTTTTTTTTTAATTTTGATACGTAGTTTAAGTTAGTATGAAATAAATGCATTTTCCAAATTTGATAAAAATATGTTCATGAACCAAGAAACTTTGACAGTTTACTTATTCTCCATAAGCAATCCCATGCTAATAACATGGGGATTTTAAATATGAACACAATTTTTTGGAATTTTCTCCGTAACCATTAGGCGCATTAAATAACGCTTCGATGTACTAAATAATTAGTTTTGTTAAGCTCTACAAAATGGCTTGGAAAGGTTTACAAATTGGTTAATCTCCTTATATTGATTTAAAAGAGTAGTCTACTGTATAATAGATCACAGAGAATTTTAATGACAGAAATCACCGTATTTGTTGTCAGAGAAATACAGCTGGTGACATCTACCGCCCATGACCGATCGCTACTAGTATCTAGTTCAAAAACATCATATGCTATCATGCTGGTTGCGTCAAATGTCCTAGCCACCCTCCTGAACACGCTCAGGAGGGGGGTCAACCCCGTGAGTCAGCAGAAATGTTTGCAGTCCGGTCTTTTCCTTACTTCCACCCACCTCCTGCATACACTGTCTGTGCTAGGCCAAGTGCCAGCTTATTTGTCACGAGCTGTAAGTCCTTTTCTTTATTTTAGGCCTACTGAATTAAAGAGCTCAGAACACTACACAGTACTTTACCAAAATTGATCTCATGATTGTTGCAGCCAATGGGTTCTCAAACAGCTCCGTTGAATGTGGTAATAAAGTTCAAAATTACGATACAACTGCTTTTATTTGTATTGCACATTTACTAGTAACAAGTAAAAAATTACCGTGGGGTAATATTTCACGGTCATCTCGAATAAGTTGATTTGTTTCACGAAAAGTCTGCAACGAACGCTGGACATAGTGACATCATATGAAGGGGATGACTGAAGTTCTCAACCCCGACGCCAGGGACAGTAGGAGAGGATCGCTCAACAAGCGCCCCGGGCAGTCAGTCGTTCTTCAGCCGTCGACAAAACGTTCACTCCCCACGGAACAATAACTGGGAGTCGTCACGAACCGTTTAGTACACGATTCCTCACAAACAATATATCTGGTGAAAGCCATATACTAGGAATCCCGAGACGATACGAACACTGGTAAGTAAATTATGTTTAAATTATGTTTTGTATTTAGTCGATTACTAATGTTCAAGGCAGGATTCTCTGCGCACGAATAAGCGAAGACTCTTGTCTTACACGAGGCTTTGGTGGTTACCAAGCATTATATTGTTATTTCAATTTGTGTTATAAACACCGCGTTATAATGACCGATTAAAATTAGTTACGAACGACTCTGGGGATTGGCCGAGTTGTTATTATTAAGACACGATTTACTTTGGTGTCAACCTAGTATCGATTTACGTTTTATTAAATCCTGTAAAGCATTCCGTTATATTCTTAATTCGCGTGGTATTTTAATTGCTAATTCGAACTCAACGCATAGGCCTACTTATTTCACGAAACCACGATACTAAAATCTAGTTTTGTCTCTCTACCCGAAATTACGTAATACACTCATGAACTTGAGTAGCCTATATCATTGAGTTGCACACCTCAAAACCATTCATTCAACTTAATGAGCTAAATATTATGCCTGAGTACGAAGCATGGTATTACCATTTGCCGGAGGTACTTCTTCGATGTCTTGAATTGAGTTAATCAGCTTAATCCTTCGATGGGCTAGAACAACCAATCGCAATCTCTCACCCATATCGTGTAGCTCCTGTATTTGGGCAAACGTCCCGATTGAGTAAACATCATTTACATTGTTTACTACTTGGCTGTCATTTCTGAAAAATTAAATTCACATTTAATTTTTTATTTATAGGTAGTTTGATCAGTAACAGGGATCAATTATAGTAAAATTATAATTTTGATCAAAACTATAAAGCTAAAAATATTTACCCCACATTTTATGCTTGAACTGATTGAGTGCAATTTTTATTCTCAGGAGGCTTGCGAAGTCATAGTTCATTGATGTGACAGCTTTCACCACTTTGCGGCGGGGAGATTATTCATGGAAACTGGAAACACAGTCTAGGATATGTTGTTCCTGGCAATTTCATCAACATATTTTCATAATTATTCATCAATATAGGCTAGGTACATTCCAAGAAATTAAATTCACAAAATTAAATACGGTACTGGTAGTTAAAATATTTAACGAAGTTATAAGCTGAACACACCCTTTGTGACGATAGCCGATTTTGGCCTACTTAATCGAAAATTTGTAAGTAGGCATAATTGGTAACATACTTTACTAAACTACTACATACTAGTAATTGTGGTTGATTGATTGGTAACATAACTAACAATTATTCTGAGTTACTTACTCTTCACTGCGCTTCAGGAAAACACCACAGTATGGATGATTTAATTTTACTTTCCTCCTGATTAAATCAATCAGCATTGGATTCGTAATCTGAAAATAAAACATGAGTTTTATAGTAGGCCTACCGTATTCAAATTTATTTTAAAATACTCTGACTCTAAACTTTCTTAGAGGTAGGGCCTACATCATCTCAGGCTATATCTTTTAGGGGAACGAAACTTGTCTACCACAATGAAATGACTTTTCTTTCCCTGGTAATTATCAACACAAAGCCACCAGGACTAACTAAGCCTACTTAAAAAGGATCCAGCTTGCTTAAATTCAATAAGTACCTACAGATACTTCTTCACACTACCGTACCGTCCAAACAGCCTCTGTCAGATCGTGTTAAGCTCTTGGTCACAACAGGTGTAGGTAGCTAGCTTAGGCTACTCCTCATGAGCTGTTGGCCATATTTAACAATAATATGATTGGCACCCTTGATCTCCTAGCCAGGGATACAAAACCTTCTAAGTTACTACGGCCATTGATTAAACCTAACAGTCTAAGTTTACAATAACTTGGGCCTACTTCCTACAGCCCACTAAGTTAAGTTAGTTAACCCAAAATTCTGACATTCTCTTAACTTAGTTTGAATTTAATTTTTCAGATTTAAGATCTCTAAATATCGTGAAAACTTGCATTTTACTAAACGTGATGGAAAATGTCCGCAATAATCCCTCAAACACAGGTTCTCTTGGTTCATCTCCTAGGATGAAGCACATCATCTAGGCTTCTCAACCTTTTTAGTAATACGATAAATGGTTGTGATTGAACGTTTTTGAAACGTTATTAATACTAATGTGGTACCGGTAGGTAGGTACTGTGAAGTTTATGACGAACCTTACAATTTAAAGAGTTTAAGAATTGTAACCTACTTCAGCATCTGATTAAGTAACTTAGGCCAAAAAAAATGTTTACCAAGATACTAGAAAGTTAGAAGGCACTCATAATCTAAAATAAGTTTCTCATTTTAGGCTACTTACATCGATGAGCTTTATGAAGCGTGGGAAAAGAGGATTCCTGTTGACTGCTATTAGAGGAACATGAGGCCAAACCTCTGGCACAACAACAGTGGCTGGTAGTGCTTGATGGACTATGTAATCTTCTGAAGCAGAACCATCATCTGGCGATTTAGGATCATCATCATCATCATTTGACGAGCTTGATTTCTGGCTAAAAGATCTTATGTGTCTTGAGCAAATCTGTGTTTGAAAACTATTAACATAATATCTATGACTTGATGTTAAACAACCAACCGGAGAATATTCAGTGCTGTACCCACATAAGCTAGATAAACATCTAGAATGTAAATGAGAGTGATTTTTGTCTTTAAGTTTGAAAAGTACACTATTGTCTAGCTTACCATTTTTTACTACATGCCTAGCAAACATGACAGAACTCCTTTGTGCAAAATTAATTTTATACATGTTGGTAGGATATTAGCTCTATTTTATGGTTACAACAGCTTTCCTCCCAACTTCTGACCGTATAAGTGATTAACTTATGTGTTCCCAAACCCAACTTCGTTTTTTACATAACCTCAATCCTAACCTAACAATCACAATTTTTGACATTGGACACCGAAAATCTCTGTGATTGTTGTATGATGCAATTTTCCTTTTTCTTATACATCTGTGGACAGTGATGGTGATCAGGACAATATTTCATGGTAATATCATTGATTATATTTCTCCCAAGGATGGGAGATTTATCTTTAAATATTAACGTTACTCCTTAATGTTTAACTAATAAATAAATAACAAAAGTTATTTATTATTAGTTATTTAATAAAATAACAACCAAACTTAGCACTCGTGTATTTTACAGTTTCTGTTGGACACTCACTCAACTCGCATAGAGCTACGACATGGCCGCCTTTAAAACAGAATATAGGCATTTTTTTAACCTAAACTCCACGGCCGCCTTTAACTCCAGGCCTCGGCCTTCGAATTGTCAACATCGCAAGTAGGGTTGTAGCAGCTGTTTTGTTTTGGAGGCAGCTAATTTTATTTGTGTATTTTTCAATAATATGAAAGCTTGGTTAATGGGCTATGAAAATATTTTTAGAGCATTTATTTCTGGTTCAATGATGAAATTATTCACAGAAGTGTTAATAAAAATAAAATAAAAATAATAACATTGTGGGTTCGCCCAGATCTGAAACACCCTGTAACATAATTAATTTAGATAAAAATATTTTTAATTTTCTTTAGGTGTCATTCATCCAATAGATCTTGAGAAAGCCTTCGACTACAAAAATATTTACTCCACTTTAAATATACAAAAATAGATTTTCAATTAAAATATTGTTTTGGTTTTCAATTTTTTATGTTTTATTTTCAATCTTGTAATGTGTTTGTGTTCATACATTTAAATTACAACAAATAATACGCAAATCAATGAGCTGGTGGCTGGTGTCCCCTGTCTGCCATGTTATGGGACGTCTGGTGCTAGACCACTTGCAGCGTTGCCAATTCTACCAGACCGCGGCCTTCAATGTAGCAACATCGCAAGTAGTGTTGTAACAGCTGTTTTGTTTGGATGCAACCATGGTGGAACGGGATGCAACAGTTATAATAGAGATCGATGGATGCAACCAATGGCATTTGTGTATTTTTAAGAATACAAAGGCTAGGTTACTGGGCTAAGAAAATATTGACTCTACTTTAAATGTACAACAATGGATTTTCAATTTAAATATTGTTTTGGTTTTCAATTCTATGTGTTTTATTAACAAATTTGTGTTCTTAAATGCAAATTTAAATGAATGATAGATTAACGAGCTGGTGTCACATGTCTGCAATGTTATCTTAAGGGATGCCTGGCACTAGAAAACACTACTTGCAACGTTACCAATTCTACCAGGCCGCGGTCTGGAGTTAAAGGTGGCCGTTTAGTAGAAGAGTCATCACCTTACGGGACATTTTTATAAAAAGCAAACAAGTGCCTGGTTCCAGGAGTAGGGAAAATCCATCCTTCTTTGTTTGGTACAGTAGTGTATAACGCAACGCTACATTCTTTATTTATTTGTGAAGATTTAAAACGACTCAGATTTTTTTCACGCAGATGGCTGTCTTGAAACCACGGGCCCCTTTAACTCCAGACCGCGGCCTGGTAGAATTGGCAACGTCGCAAGTAGGGTTGTTTAGTGTCAGACGTCCAATAAGCAGACAGGTGACTTCAGCTCATTGATCACACTTCATTGATTTAAATTTAAATTTATGAACATAAATTTATTAAAATATTGAAAATAAACAATACAGAATTTAAAAACCAAAACAAGATGAATTGTAAATCCATATCTGTAGCCTACATTTTAAGCAGGATCAATATTTTCATAATCCAGTAACCAAGCTTTCGTAATTACACAAATACCATTAGCTGCTTCCAAACAAAACAGCTGTTACAACCCTACTTGCAACGTTGCTACTTCGAAGGCTGCGGCCTGGGATTAAAGCTCACTGACTTTAAATACCGTAAAGGAGTTAGAACTCTCATTTATAAATTGCAATTTATTGTAAAGTCTAAAGCCTGTTAATATTACACAAGCTGGGCCGACAGACGTCGTCCTGTCCTAATGTGGTTTTATGTCAAATGCTCGTTCCTTTTCAAGATGAGCTTGGTCGCATCGCGCTATCACGTCCTGGTTGAAGTTCGCTTGCTTCACTTCACCTTTATGTTGAAGCTCGTTGCGCTCACTTGCCTTCAGGCTTAGCTCGTTCGCTACGCTATGTCGCCTCCAGGTTGAAGTTCGTTCGCTACGCTCACTCACCTTTTGGTTGCAAGTTAGCTGTTGCATAAATATATACAAATAATTGTGCTGCACCCTGTTGGTAAACATATTCACTTTTTAATACTATTGAACATCACAGAATCAAATTGTTTAGTTGAACCAGCTGTTAAGATTCTTTAATTCCATTTAAATATAAGTACTCATAAGTTTAACATGGGAAACTCCAGAGCCACTGGGCCTTTTGTTTTGACGGATCTGTACCAAACTATACACAAACCATCCTCGAATAATGCTTAATGATGCCTGAAAGTTTCATTTCAATCTGTCGAGCGGTTTCGGAGTCCATAACGTTCAAATATACAAACTTCCTCTTTTATAAATATAGATATATAAGTGCAAATACAATTATTATCAGTCCAAAGCTAAAATATTTATTTTGCCACGATCCTATTTAACTTAAAATCATAAATATACAGCCATCATGTAATCAACCTATATGTATATCAATAACTATATAACTATATCTATATCAATATATAATCAATTGTCTAAACCCGTGTTTAAATGTAAAGCTAGAATTTTTCGATGGGCTCTCTCTCTTTGGCAAGCTGTCTACTTTTTTGCCTCGCCCCCTTCTGACTTGCCTGAAGATAGCTGACGATCCTATCTGACGAGTTTAGATCGTAAAACTGTCTATTGCAAACAATAGGTACACTCTCTCCAAACGACAACAGACCTGTATTGTGTCACGGACTTTCCAGTTCGAAAATGTCTAATAGAACGAATATAATATTTAAGTGTAGGGGTATTTTATAACTTCCTAATAAACCTAAAATAAGACAGATTTTCACGGCCATCTTATTAAATTTCCGATGTATTAATCTGTGGTATAGCTGAAGATATTACGAACAAGAACCTTAAAAAATCAGTTCCAAACACCGGGTGTAACGGATTAGTTTAGAGTGACTAGTAGAATAAATGGTGATATTCAACGACTTGCACCGCAAAAACTTAGGTGGTACTGATAATTAGCATACATCCAGGTGATAAATAATAGCAAATTCTTGGATAGTAATGCACTAGAACATAAATATCACCAACGCGAACCCTAAAAAATCAGCTCTGAACATTGCATATTAGGGGATGGCTCGCATATAGTTTTGGAATAAATTGCGTTTTTCAAAGACTTACATTAAACACGCTTAGTGGGTATTGATAGTCGGCTTTTACAAATGCTATGAACAATAATACGTTCTAGTATAGCTAACTATTAGAGTATAGATAACACGAACAAGTACTTTAAAAAAATATAGCTCCAAATATCGGATACTACGTAATATTTCAGGGTTAGCTATAGAATAAAGTGTGATATTCAACGACTTGCACCGCAAAAACTTAGGTGGTACTGATAATTAGCATATTTACATGATGTAAACAATAGTAAATTCTAGGATATTAAATCACTAGAGCATGAATATCACCAACGCGGACCTTAAAAAATCAGCAGTGAACATTGCGTATTAGGGGATGGCTCCGGAATATTTCAGGGTTAGCTGTAGAATAAAGTGTGATATTCAACGACTTGCACCGCAAAAACTTAGGTGGTACTGATAATTAGCATACGCACAGGTGATAACCAATAGCAAATTCTAGGATAGTAATGCACTAGAACATGAATATCACCAACGCGAACCTTAAAAAATCAGCTCTGAACATTGCATATTAGGGGATGGCTCGCATATAGTTTTGGAATAAATTGCGTTTTTCAAAGACTTACATTAAACACGCTTAGTGGGTATTGATAGTCGGCTTTTACAAATGCTATGAACAATAATACGTTCTAGTATAGCTAACTATTAGAGTATAGATAACACGAACAAGTACTTTAAAAAAATATAGCTCCAAATATCGGATACTACGTAATATTTCAGGGTTAGCTATAGAATAAAGTGTGATATTCAACGACTTGAACCGCAAAAACTTAGGTGGTACTGATAATTAGCATATGCATAGGATGTAAACAATAATAAATTCTAGGATATTAAATCACTAGAGCATGAATATCACCAACGCGGACCTTAAAAAATCAGCCGTGAACATTGCGTATTAGGGGATGGCTCCGGAATATTTCAGGGTTAGCTATAGAATAAAGTGTGATATTCAACGACTTAGGTGGTACTGATAATTAGCATATGCATAGGATGTAAACAATAATAAATTCTAGGATATTAAATCATTAGATCATGAATATCACGAACGCGAACCTTAAAGAAATAGCCCTTAACATAGAGCATTATGGCATGGCTCGCTCATAGGTTTGGAATGAATTGTGAGTTTCTAAGTTTTTAAGTACTAGTTATACATGGGATGGCCAGCCATGAGTTCAAAATTACATTATCTTCGATGTCCTGCAATGCAAAAACTTAGGTGGTAGTGATGTAGGCGTAAATAATAGTACAGATAAATGTTACAAATAATAGTTAGGGTGATTACGGTAGCTTGACATAATATCTGCTGGTTGTGGTAAGTAATAATTTCTTGGCCACTTGTGCATGAAAACAACTAGATTCGATATTGAACACAAAGCTGGTTGTTCATACATAAATGGCCTCTCGTGCGAGAGGCGCTAGGTATCTGAAACAAAAATAATTAATACGTCCAATGAACTTTACACATGAATAAAGGTAAACCGGACTTATATACATTGTAATTGTTAATTATATCTACTATCATACAGAATTAATTTATATATCAAATCTTAATTGTCATACAACCATTTTACATAGCATCGACAAACGTCCAAAAATGTTATTAAACCTTAA